AGCAGACTGGCTTGGGCAGCCGGCTGGTGCTGGGTGTGCAAAGTGGATTCAGATTGCAGACTGATTGCAAGCTGGCATTGTTCAAGCAGGGTGCAGGCAGCCGGGGGCCAGGGAACGGGTACCCGGGGAGCAAGGCATTTCACTAAGTGGGTATTTATAGCTGGGCTCTTGGAACAAATGATCCACGGAGAGGGCAGGAGGGGTGAGGTTGCTGGAGGTTGGCCAAACCTTGGGTGCTGGATCCTGCCAAGCTGAAATTTCAGTGGCTTGGGCCATTCTGGGATTCCCAGCTCCCTCGTGGTAGGAAAGATGGGGAAAGCCTGTTGTGGGTGTGAATTTGGGTCAGTTTCATGTCTCTGCCCTTCTTATATTTCGATTGTGGGGACCATCCTCTGAGGTGTTCCTCGGTGAACCCGTCTTCTGGCACCTGTGACCTTGGATGGACTTCGCCCACACAGAATAGAGCTAACCTATGGTCACCAGTAGGATGCTCTGGAAATGACATTGATGGCAATGGGTATGGGGTCATAAAAGATCCAAGCCCTTGTTTGGATCCCTTTCTTTGAAGGAAGTCAGCCGCCATATTGTAAGGCACTCAAGCTGGTCTGGGGAGGTCAGCTTGTAAGAAACTGAGGCTTCCTGATACCTCGCCAGCCATGGGAGGGAGCCACCTTGGAAGCCAATTTTCCATCCCCAACCAACCCCCCGACGTGATTACACCCCAGTTGACATTTTGACTGTCACCTTTCTAAAGACCCTGAGCTGGAACCACTCGGCTCAGCCACTTCTGAGTGCCTGGTCCACAGTGATATTGTTTTAAGCCACTAAGTCTTAGGGATGTCTGTCAAGCAGCAACAGGTGACACATTCATCAACATATCAGCTCCTGGCACATGGTGGGCATCAAATAAACAGCTGTTTATGAACACAGGCCATGGTGCTCATTTTAGTCGGCTATTCTGTTGCTGTGACCAAAAGACCTCACAAGAACCACGCAGCGGAGGGAAATTTTATTTTGGCTCATGGGTTCAGAGGTCCCAGTCCATAGATGGCTGACTCTACAGCTGGCCCAAAGCGAGGCAGAACATCAGGGCAGAGGGCAAGGCAGGGAAAGCAGCTCAGGGCATGGCAACAGGGAATCAGAGACAGCTCCATTCACCAGGGACAAAATAGAAACCCCAAAGGCACACCCCCAGGGACCCACCTCCTCCTGCCACACCCAGTTAATCCACATCAGTAGATGAATCCACTGATTAGGTCCAAACTCTCACAGTCTCATCAGGTCTCCTCTGAACACTCTTGCGTTGTTTCACACGTGAGCTTTTGGGGGGACATCTCCTATCTAAGCCACAGCAGCACTATTTCCTAAGGCTGACATTTCAAGGACATGATAGTCCTCTTGCCTGACCCAGAGCAAGGGCTCAGTAAGTCTCCACTCCAGCACCACCATTGGGTCACATAGTAGGCAGCAGGTTTAGGAGGGGTGGGGTAGGTTCTGACTTTGCTCCACTGAGCTTCAGTGAGTTCTAGTCTCCTTGAACCTATTTTGCCTATTGTGAAATAGAAGGTTTGGATCATCAATCCAGCTCTGGATTCCAATGGGGAACTAATTATTTTTTGAAAAAAAAATTTTTTTGAACATTCTCTTGGGGAGCTGAAGAGTGGGGTTTGCTTAGACAGGTAGAAGAGCAGACTTTGGTAAAAGGAGCTCTCAACATAGGTCTGGGTACCTCTCAGGGTCTGATAACCCTGCTTGGGCCCCAAGACGTCCATATTGAAGCCATGTTGTAGGACTGATGTCCTGTAGATGTTCTGTTGACTGTTCTGGTCGTATGTGGCTAGACTGGGTTCCAATTCCCCTGCCACCCTGGTGGTTAAGGATAGGTGCATCACTTCCAGCCAGAAGTAAAAATTTAGTAGAGATTTTCTCTTCCCCACTTCTCTTTAGCTGGCCAGCTCTACACACTTTGAATTTCTTGAGACAGAAAAAGGTTGCCGTGTGCCCACTCTGTACCAGAACCCTGGGGATTTCATGAAGCCTGGGATGGACACAAGAGTGTCCTGGGAAGCCTGAGGTTTCGCAGGGACAGGTGGTCAGATACGGTGAGGGTTACAAATGGTGGCTCTCAGGCAATCTGGAGGTTGGGAATCCAGGAATATCTCCCCGGGGAGCAGATGTTGAAACTGAGCCCTCCTCTGGGCCTGTAATCTGGGGAATGGTCCACATGCCAAGGCAGCCCTTCAGCAGCTGATGGTCAGCACAAGAGACAATCGTAGCTCAGCTAGAAGCCGCTGGAATGTGGTGCCTGAGTTCAGGAAATTCAAGGTCACATGAGGACTCAGTGTCTGGGCTAGGTCAGATGCAAGACAAAATCCCCCCCCTCAACTGGGGCTGGGCCCCAGAGGGGATTTCTGGACCCATATCCAGGAGTCCGGAGGTGGGGACAAACTCAGAAGTTTCAGGAAGTAGTAAGCCGGCACATGTTCCCACTCTGTGTGCCGCCGCCGCTCTTTCCCTCTCCTTGTCTCGGGACTTGGCTTTACACTGTGGTTGACCTATTCTCATCCTCAGAGAGGATGGGCTTTCCGGCCTTCCCTGGACCTACAGCTGGAGAGAGGAGAATGTCTGCAGGCCATCCGCAGCTCCACCTCCCAGCCCACTTGGCCACAGAGCATACAGAATCCCAGGGAAGGACTCTGATTGGTCTGGCTCGGGTCATCCTCCCATCAGGAGCCAGGAGTGGCGGCTGTCCCTGGGAAGAGTCACCCTGAAGATAGGGACACTTTTTACCAGAATAGCAGGGAGGTGGTACTCGGCTGACTAGACAATCTCTGTCTCCTCTACCCGAAGCCACAAAGTTTCACAGTCACTTTAAGTAATAATATATTGCCAAAAAAACACGGTTACTTGGGCCTTTCCCTAAATATCAAAACTCCCCATATTTGGTTGGGTTAGAACATCACTGTGGTCGTCGCCTGTGTTTGTATTTTCTGCTTAAGACAGGTTGTTCAAAAGAGGAAAATAATTTCTCAGTCTGACTGGTGGGGTCTTGGGTGTTTCTCAAACCCTGGTGTGCGCGCTGTTTATCTAGGAGCCTTGTTAAAAATCCAGATCGGGTTCTGCAGTTCTGGGGTGGGGCTTGAGATTCTGCATTTCTATCAAGTTCCCAGTGGATGTAACCTGGTCTGCGCGTGGACCACGTTTTGTGTGAAGCCCAGCTTTATATTAATCTGTCTTTTGGGCTAGGAAGGGGGGATAGAAGGAATGACAGCTGTTTTAATCGAATCAAGTCAGAAAACAGTCTCAGGCTGGGTGGACGGTTTAGAGCTCATTTTTTTTTTCCTGTCCGGTTTCCGACAGGCAGCAGACACTTTCCCCGGGTCGGTGGTGACGGTGCCAAGACCTGCATCCCTCCCGGGGGTGTGGGGGGGAATCTCATCTATTGCATCTGGCTGAATTGGGGAGAGCCGTGGTGTTCTAAAGTGGCAATCAGAGCGCCCCAAGAAAGAGTTAAACCCTCTGGGACACGCAGTCTGACAGACCCAGGCCCATGTGGCGGGGCTGACCTGACTCCAGGGGTTAATACTATTTTGCTTTCGAGGACTATTTGTTATATCAGGTTAGAGCAGGCAGCGGGTCACGGGGTCGGGGGCCCCTCGCCACCCCCTCCGCTCCCCTCCCCCTGTCTCCTCCATTGGAGCCTCGCTGCCTCCTTTAATCGGAGGACCCAGACACAGCTTTCCTTGGGGTCTTCTCACCAGTGCCCTCAGACTCGTCGCAGCCGACGCCAGTCTCTCTCCAGCCCCAACCCTCAGAGGCAGGCGTGGGAGCTCAAAGGCTCTCTGTGCAAGGGGCACCGTCCACTGCAATTTGTGCTGTGGTTTCTCTGGGCGGGAGGAGGTTGGAAAAAAGGGTCTTTTGGATTTTCTTTTCCTTTTCCTTATTTTCCTAATTGTGGAATTTTTTTTTTTTTTTTGCGTTTTTTCTTCCTGCCTTCATTTTTCCTTTTCTTTGTATCCTCCTTATTTGCATATAGTTTTTCCTTTCCTCTCCTTCCCCCCACCTTATTTATTTATGTATTTATTTATTTATTGTCTCGTTAAACTGGCAGGAACAGGGCAGATTTGAAGGCAGCTAGAACAGGGTTCAAATCCCGGCTCAAGAGAATAGGCTCCGGGAGAGAGTTCTTTCACCACGCTGGGCTTTGGTGCCCTCTTTGCAGAACAAATTTAAAAATCCCAGCCTTTTGGGCTCGTGGTCAAGAGTTAACCAGAAAACGGACGCCAAGTACAAGGTTGGTGTCCAGTGAGCAGCCAGGAAGTGTCACTCTCTCCATGTCCTAAGCTGTTCTCTTCTTTTCTCTCTGTTTATTTTCTTCATTTACCTACGTTTCTTTCAATAACTTCCTCTTCAGTTTCTGGAAGATTCTCTGTAGGGGAAACGTCTCCAGACAGCTAGTGTCATAGCAAGGACCTGGGCCTGCCACTTGGTACCTGAAGCCTGCGGAACCTCATCTTCTCTTGGAAAAAAGGAACTAGAGCCTTTCCCTCCCAGGCATTGGCAAGGATTAACTGAGCATGGGTGAGGTGTGCTGACCGCAGAGCCTGATGGCCAGTACTTCTTCTCTCCTGCCCCTCATTGCTCTGGTCAGGCTGTATGTCCACTACCGCACACACTATCAGTACTTGTTCTGACCGGTCCCTCTGCTGAGCCATTGATTTATCCATCCATCCATCTATCCATCCATCTATTGTCCATCTATCCAACATCCATTCATTCATCCATTGCCCACCCACCCATCCATCCATCCATCCATCCATCTACATGTGCATTCATCAGCCATCCGGCAAGTCCTCTGTCCATCCCTCCATTCATCCATTAACCACCCACCTACCCCTCTGTGCATACACCCTCCATCAACCAGCTGTTGTTCACCCATCCACCCATCCACCCATTTATTTATTCCACACTTGTTGTGTAATAAATAAATAAGATCAGTCTAAATCATACCTTGTCATAAAATTCTGTCTGATAGTTCCACAAACAGAAAGAAGAAATAAAAACGGGATTTGGGAAACCTATGGTCCTTCCATCCTGTTTTCTCGTGAGCAGGTAGTGAAGAGGGAAGGGGCTTTGGCCTTGGGGACAGGGAACATGCATTTGAGTGGCTTGGTGCCTTTGAAACAGAATCCAAAGACTCTGTGGCTGTGCCAAGGGGATTCCTGAGGGAGGGGCTAGGACTTCTTCAGGTCTTCACCCTACCTGCTCTTACACTGGTCTCTGTTTAAGGTTTAATTTGGAAAAAAATAAATGTTCATCTGCTACATAATTTTTGAAAATTAGACAATTTCATTGAAAAGATGGAGAAAGCTGAGCCCTCCTGCATCACAGCCCTGGTGATGTCAGCCCTAGGCTCAGGGCACCTGGGTATTCTCACCCAATAGGTAGCAGCTTTGAGTCCAGAGTGTCACTCTTCAGCAATTTTTAAAAAGTACTCATATAGTTATACATTTTAGACACTAAAGAAAGGTTGAGAAAGAGCCGTCTTCTTTCTTGTTAACCATAGAATAAAGAAGAAATGTCTAATTTTCAAAGATTTTCTCAGTGCTTACCGTAAGCTTGGCAATGTGCTAACTGTTAAACAAATGATGTCACTTGGAGCCCGAGGGGTCCCTGAAACTCTTCCATAGTCTCTATGGGACATGATCAGAGGTCATTTCAATGTGGACGTTAAGCAGATCTGGTTTCAGGTTTAGAGCTGCACAGGCTGTGTGACTTTGTGGAAGTGACTCTCCTTGGAATCTCAGCTTCTTCATCTGTAAGAGTGCAATACAAATAATATGTTATGTTTGGAAATTAAGTGAGAAAATGCATCCAGAATGTTAGCGCTGCCTGGCACATAGTTACCACACCAAAAAAATATTAGCTACCATCACCATCTAAATAACCATCACCATCATCACCACCATCACCATCATCACCATCATCACCACCATCACCATCATCATCACCATACCATTCACATCACCATCATCTCACCATCACCATCATCACCATCATCATCATCATCATCACCATCATCACCACCATCACAATCATCACCATCATCCCCATCCCATCTCCATCATCACCATTATCATCATCATCACATCACCAACATCATCACCACCATCACCGTCATCATCATCACCATCACCATCAATCACCAACATTATCATCATCATCACCACCACCATCACCATCACCATCATCACCATCACCATCACCATCATCACTATCATCATCATCACCATCACCATCATCAACATCATCACCATCATCATTATCACCATCACCATCATCAACATCATCACCACCATCACCATCACCATCATCACCAGGCAAACAAAGGTGACCCCTTTGTGGTCAGATTTGAAGAGAAGGAAGCAATCGGATAAAAAAGAATTTTAAGCAGAAGGAAGTGCATCATACGAAGTTCAGAAGAAGAGGGAATGTGAGAAGGTGGAGTCTGGGGAAGATACAGAAGGGGAAGATTGATTCTGAGTAAGATGGAGGCTGGGAAAGATGAAGACTGTAAGATGGAGACTGGGTAAGATGGGGTGTGGGTAAGATGGGGTCTGGGATGATAAATCTGGGGAAGATGGAGCTCTGATAAAGATGGAGTCTGAGGGAAGATTGACTCTGGGAAGATACAGTCTGGTGATTATGGAATCTGAGGATGCTGGAGACTGGGAAGATGGAAACTTGGAACATGGAGTCTATGTACAGTGTAATCTGGGGAGGAGGGAGATTGGGGATGATGGAGTCTGGGGTAGTGGAGACTGGGGAAGATGGAATTTGAGGAAGAGGAAGACCAGGGGTAGAGGGAATCTAGGGAAGATGGGCTTTTGGGGAAAGATTGAGGCTGCGGAGAGAGGGAGTCTGGACCTGGTGGAGATGCTGCCTGCCGGCTCTGGTTGGATTTCATGCTGGATGAATGGACTCCACACTGTCTTATTTTACGCAGACACACCCAGGATGTTTCGGCCACCTGTCAGGTAGGAATGTTTTGTGGCTGTAGTTGCCAAGACCCCTGCTCTGCACCTTTAAGGAAGCACCAGGTGTTTGGAGGGATCTTGGGTGTCCCAGGGGTCCCATCTCTTGTCTGTGTTCTTTGGGAATCTTGACCTGCTCCACTCACCCTGTACTCCCAACACCTCCAAACGCAGTGATCTGGAAGAAGGAGAAGAAATGTTTCAGGGGCCACTAGGCCTCACAGGCCCACTGGGAGGTGCTGCCCATCTTGCACGTTGGCTCAGGGATGGCTCCGGCCAGCCTGAGGACAGCCAGGTAGTTACATAAGTCACTCCAGGAAGGGGCCTGGCTGGACACCCCGGCTCCTCCAGGCACATACCAGGGTCAGGGCTTGTTAGAAAGGTTTCATGGAACAGCATCCTGCTTGGGGGGGGGGGCGGGGGGGCTGGCTGCAAGGACATTTGTACCCACCCTCAGCTTTTCCTGCCTGCTCCACCTGCAGGAACATCTTTGCCACTCTCTCAAAGCAGAAATAATAAATAGCAGAGAATAATCAAATATCAATAGAGGCTGCCCTCCCACCTCGCCGGCAATGGGCATGATAGCGGGAGAGGAAGCTCAGAAGCATCAAGGATTCCCCCGTCTCCCTGTCCCCCAGCGTCCCCAGGGCCCTCCCTCTCCCTCCCCTTCCCCCTCCCCCAGGAGACGGGAGGAACTTGGCAAGCCATCTCGTCGCCAATCAATCTGTGGTGTAACAATTAGCACTTAGGCACCACTCATGCTAAACACACGCTTAGAAAACACTTTAAAAAAAAAAAAGGTTGGTGGGGCGCGGGAGGAGGGGCGCGGAGTCCTCCGAGCCAGCCCGGCGCAGCGGCGGGGCCTGGCAGGGAGCGGAGCCGGCAGCCGGCCCGGGAGGAAACAGATCAATGCCGTGCGGAATGGAAGGCATCTAATACCCTATTATTGACGAGGCCAGAGCACTTTGAGGCGTGTTTCCACCGTGAGCAATTAGTCTTGGAGACCGCAGGAGTTAAGCTCGCGCTGGTGGCCCCCCGCCCGCCATCGGGAGGACACTTTTCCTCGCGCAGCCCGCCCCCGCAGCCGTGGCGCCAGGCTGCAGCCGTAATGGGGCCCATCCGCGGAAGGCCAAATGCTCCAGCCTCCCAGAAGGCCCCCGGGGGCCCCCACCCTGCCGGCCCCCCCCACCCTGCCGGCCCCCCGCCCCGGCACCCTCAGCCTCCGTAACAGAATCCAGTCGACGCGGAGTCTGTCTGCGCCCGCGAGCTGCCGAAATTGATTGTAATGGTTTTACCGCGCGCAGAGAGAGCTGGCTGTTTTCTCGCCTCTGCTGTCGGCTTTCATCAACGCCCAGGCACAAGGAAGTGACTCCTCTTCGGGCAGGCGGCACTGGATCGGATGAAAGGCGACTTTTGTTTGTGGGCATGCAGCAGGGACAGCGGGGACAGCAGGGACAGCGGTCTCCACTGCTGCTGCTGTCTGGAGCTCTCCTGGAGAGGGGGCTGCTCTTCCCCAGGGCCCATCTCTCTTGCATGAGAGAGAGAGGAAGAGAGAGGGACAGACAGACACAGACCGACAGACAGACACTGACTCGGGCAAATCTACCCCAAACAGCAGAGGTTGCTTTCCAGAGCCAGTTCTGGCCTCATCCCTAATGGCTTGAGTACTGGGGAAGAGGGATCCAAGCAGGGATGAATGGAGAGAAGAGCTGATGATTGACAGTGGTGGCCAGAGGTGGGAAGCTCTGAGGCTTCTTTCTCCTGCCCCAGCTGGTCCTGTCCAAGCACTTGGGGTCGTTCTTTAAATTCCTACAGCAACTCTATGACGTAGGTGTGATCGCTCCCATTTTACAATAGGGAAACTGAGGCATCGAGAGGCAATGGGTAGAGGATGAAGGGCCACTGGAGCCGGGTCCTGCTGATTCCTGATCTGGTTCATTCTCCATACTCTGTTCCTACTTTCTCAAATCTGGTGGGATGAGTGGGTGTTACAGGGTTGAAATACCTCAACTATTGGGTATTCCTCAAGTATTGGGAAATTGGGAGTGATTCAGGCTTAAAAGAACCCAGATGGAGCCCCCTCTCCCCCCACGGGGAATAGGCGAAGGTCCGGTCCCACCTAATAACTTGCCAGACTTTCTTCTTGTAACTTTACCTCTGTTCCCTGGGTTTCTGCTCCCTCTGTTCTCTCCACCCAGAATTCCCAGATCTGGCCTGGGCTGTGCCTGGTGAAAACATAGACAGTCTTGCAACTCGACTTCCCCAAGGAAAACCGCTCCTGGTCGCAGCCATCCTAGACTTCTGCAACACTTCTTCACAACCGTATTTTCTTAGTCTCTGCCTTTTTCACTAACGTTAATTCAACACCAATTTGTCAAACTCTCGCAAGGTGCCCATTTCCATATTAGATTGAAAGCTCATTGGGCATGTCTTTTTTTTTTTTTTGGAGGGGGGAGGCAGTACCAGGGGTTAAACTCAGGGGCACTCCACCACTGAGCCACATCCCCAGCACTATTTTGTATTTTATTTTGAGACAGGGTCTGGCTGAGCTGCTTAGTGCCTCACTTTTGCTGAGGCTGGCTTTGAACTCATGATCTTCCTGCCCCAGCCTCCTGAGTTGTTGGGATTACAGGTGTGCGCCACTGCGCCTGGCCTCTGTACATACCTTTGGATGGTATTTTCCAGAACTGTGGCTTTATTGTGTGTCTTCTTGAGTAATGGAGTAGTAATAAATTCCATGCAAACAGAGTCTCATAAACGTGATTTGTGTTCTGCTGGGCACCGCTGTGACAGCACTCCAGGCTGGAGATGGGTGAGTCATCCTAGAAGAACCATCCTGGACCATCCAACCTGCCACTTATCCATAGGTATGCGATTGAGACAGTTGAACCTGGACTCCCCACATCAGCAGAACTTGACAACTTAAAGACTTAAGTGGTCATTGCCTTGAGGCCCTAAGTTTCAGGTTAGTTTGTTAAGCAGTAGTACCTACCATACATGGACCTAGAAGCACAAAATTCGTTCCTGCAAACCAGGCTTTGCAACGAATCACCTGCAGCGACGGCCCTTGAACCCAAGAATCCCTTTGCATGTTTTGGGGATGAGTGGGGCCGGGGTGTATTTTATTTTTATGTTTATTCCTCCTTCCTCCTTTGGGAACCCTTCGCTAGTTGGGAAAACTGGGCAGGATCAGTGCAAGGAGGTGAAGGGCCAGTCTACAGTAGCACTTGGAGGAAGGACTAAAGACAAACCAGTTGGGTGCAACAGCTCTGGGGATTATGTCTGGATTTCAGAATTCAGGACATCCGCTAACTGCATTAGCATGAATAACCAAATCAGGATGGAACCGTGAAATTCTGTGTCTGCCCGTGCTTGTTTATGACAGGGTAGAATCAGGTCTGTAAAAAACCATAGGAACATGCACTTCTGTCCGTTTGCATTCCTACAGTGGATCAGGCAGAGGGAAGGAGGTCCCTATGTGCTCTTAAAGACTTCTCCCTCCTCTTCTTCTCTCTCCTCCCCCATTCTCTCTGGCCTCTTCTCCTCTTTCATGTTCTCAGGCTTCTGTGAATTTCTACCCAGACCCTGGGGTCAGGGATCAACGGTCTTGGCTGCACCCAGCACAGTAGGAGGAACTGTGGGAAACCGTGGGAAGTCAAGGTCAGAAGTAATTCCCAGTGGAAGGTGCCGGCTCCCCGCTTCCCACAGCAAGATGCCAGGGCTCTCGTGGACCCTTCGGTGTTGGTGAGGATTTCTTACCGACATCCTGCAGGAAGCATTTAGGGCGAGAATCCAGGCAGAAGCAGAAGGGTTGGTGTGAAGACCCAGCTCTCAGGAAAAAACGACATAATAACCAGGTCGGAATGGACAGATGGGTTGAGAGGGAAGAACTAGGGCTCCTGCTGCACCCCCTAAGCAGGACCCAGGCCCGGGGTGATAGATGATGTGTTACAGCCCCATGTCTCCAACAATAAGGTGGGAAGGTAGCCTCTGATGATCCCAAGGACTGTGCACTCTATGATTGTCACATAGGGGTGCAGCCCCGCATCATGGTGGATGAGGAGGCTGAACAGTGGGTGGCTGTGAGTGCACCTGGTGAAGTCCTCAGCCCTTCACGAGGGAGACCTGGGAACATGAAGGCACTGCTCTCAGTGTAGTTGGGAGCAGAGCTGTCTCAGGAACCAGGCCAGGTTGGGGACGGGATGGAGAAGACTGACAGGTGGGCTTGGGTGAGCTGAGTGCTGGTTTGGAAAGGGACATGCATTTTCAACTTGGCTTTTCCCTTGACACTCCCACGGGCAGCAGGGTTCTAGCTGAACCAAAAATGGAATTGGAGACTGGTTTAAGTAACGAACACGTGAGCCCTCTGCACCCCAGAAAGCACACACAGGCACTCTCAGAATGAATGAATGAGCACAGTTGGTTCACGTCCTGGGGCTGCTGGGGCAAAGCTCCACCCCCTAGGTGGTCTAAACAACAGGAATCTATTGTCTCTTGGTTCTAGACGTCCCAAAGCAAGGTGTCATCAGGGCTGCGTCCCCTGGAAGCTCCAGGGGAGACATGTCACGTGTCTTTCTCTGAGTATCTCTTCATGGCCAACAACCCTCCATGTTCCTTGGCTTGTAGGTGCCTCATTCCAGTCTCTGTTCCCTCGTCACATGTGTCTTCACATGGCTTCCCCCGTACCTGTCAGTCTCTGCCCTTCTCCTCCGCTTTTTATGGACGTCCATCGTCCTGGGTTAGGCCCACTCTAATGATCTCATCTTAACTCAATCCCATCTGCAAAGAGCTTATTACTAAATAAGGTCGCATTCACAGGTACGTGGGTTAACAGTGTTTCCTTTGGATGGACACGGTTTAGCTCACAACAGCATGGAAGAAATGAGTCCCTCATGGGAGAGGTGTGGGCATTGGCTGCTGCTTAGTTGAATGGCACATGATGTCCCACGGCTCATCCCCTCTGTCATCTTTGGGGCTCAGCCAGCTGCAGTGGGGGGCTCCCTGCAAGTTTAGAGTCAATTTAACAGTGCAGTCGTCCCCCCATTCATGAGGGTTATGTGCCTGCAACCTCAGGGATTTCCAAAGCCTGTATATAATATGTTTTTTAATATACTTCCTGTGATAAAATGTAATTTATGAATTAGACACAGTAAGAGATTAATAGCAATACTAGTAATATAGGTCAATTATAATAATATGCTATAAACGAAATCACCAGCATCACGACTCTAGCTGAGGATGAGGTTGAAGCCCTAGTGATCCAGTCATTGCCTAAAAGCCCTGCCTCTGAACCCTGCTGCATTGGGGACCATGCTTTCAACTTGTGCGCTTTTGAGGAACATTCCAGATCCCAGCCATAACACTGAGCTGCTTGTGGCTTGTCATTTATCCCTGAAACTTAGGGACTCTGCAGTCAAGTAGCCCCCGGCCAAATCAGGTGGTCTTGCAGGGCATAGAATATCCTTTGCATCTGCAAAAGCATCAGGGGGCTGGAGTAGTCCTAGGAGGGTTTTAGATGAGCTAAAGGAAAGGGATTCCACAAAGCTGGATGAGTAAATGCTGAATCAGACTTTTAAGTTGGAAGGCCACAGCTTCAGTCTCCAAATTAGAGGCTTCCAGGATCCATTAAATGAGAACTGTGTACCTGGTATGGTGCCTGCTGCTAAGAGGTTTGGGAAATAAGATGAGCAGCCTGTGCATCATTTGACTGAGAAAATGGAAAGTATATCTGAAGCCCTCAGGAGGAAGATCACATGAGCATGCGTCATCAAGGAGAGATGATATATTTCCAACTCTAACTTCCGAGGAAGATGAAAGAAAGTGGTGATAAGTCACAGAGTAGATGGACTCTTTTTATGTTGTAAGGAAGAGCCAAGAGATCAAATATGTAGTCCACATTGTCATCTCTCATTCCTTCTCCCATGACAGACATCACTAATCTATCGGGATCCGCTTTCCTTAGGACTCCTGCGCAGGCCTCATGCTAAGGGCATTGGACCAGGCAGGTGCTCCTGGAGGTGGTGTGGAAAGTGGAGTCTCCACCCTCCTGACCTGCAGGTGATCAATGAGGGTCTATTTTAGAGAAATACAGGACATGTGGAAGCACTGGAATGGGGCATTCACAGATTCACTTATATCCCAATGTTTCCAAGAGTTGGATACAGAGAAAGCCTTGTGGAAAATGGGACAGTAATTTGTTTCTATTCTGTATCCACCGTCTGTCTCCATTTCCCCCGGCATTTCCCAGAGAGGAGGGAGGAGGGGGATGGGGAGGAGGGGAGGGGGATGGGGAGGGGGTGGGGATGGGGATGGGGAGGGGAGGGGGAGGAGGAGAGGAGGAGGAGGAGCAGAGACATCATGAGACTGGCGATTGGCGTCCTTTGTCACCAGGCAAGAGGATGTGTCTTTATAGTAGAGAGACTGTCTCCAAGGTGCCTCATTCATGGCTGACTCCTATCATGAAGCCCTTTTGCTTTTTGGTTGAATGGCAACAATTTATCCAAGGGTCAGTTAACTTTTATGAGCAGGACCAGGTAGGAAACATGTCAGGCGTGGTGGACTGTATACCAACTACTGAACTCCATCCCCGGGGCACCAAGACAATCACAGAAGGTTGGGGTGTGGCTCAGTGTTAGGGCGCGTACCTAGCATGCGTGAGGC